AGAGAGAGAGAGAGAGAGAGAGAGAGAGAGAGATATTTGCGATTTTATTTACTTTAAATGTGGAGGGCATATGGCTATTTTCAAGGATGCTATTTAGAGATTAGCCAGTGCTTGTTTTATTCTGAAATTTTAAACTAAAAATCTAAACTTCAGGATAATTCAAAACATTTTTGTCCCGAGAAATTAAACTGGAAAACTGAAATTCAAGACATACTGGCTAATTTCTAAATAGCATCTCTTTAGAGTGGCTACCTGGTGTCAAGGCTCAGCTAGGCACAGACCACATTTTCGTTTTATTGGCCCAAATAGGAATTTTTTTTCCCACTTCCCGCTATTTATCATTTTGTTTTTGCCGCCAAGTAGATTTGAGTGTCTTATTTGGGAAGTTTCTCAAACTTTGTGGGGGGAGAGAGAGAGAGAGAGAGAATGCTGGGAAGAGTAAGACGGTCAACAATTAGCTCGCTGGAGCAACTGGAGTCGGAAAGGCCATCGTCGAAGCTCATGAAAGCTGACTCTCTCTCCATATACGGTACAGTTCCTTTTCTTCTTAGTTCCACATTCTTTGCAAATCATTGAAATGGTATCTGCTCCATCTTCTGTAATTGTATTTTCTTGATTCATGTGTGGCTTCATAAGAATTGAGGAATAGATCATGCGTACTGGTGGATATTTGATCATTTTTGGAAATGAATTGATTCTGTAGAATGCGCAGAAGATAATAGATCTGTTTTAATTTGAGTCTCCAAATTCTCAGGTTCTGGTATTTTTAAACCAGAACTTGATCATCTGGAAAAATAACTTCCAATTTTTCTTCTACGTATCGGAAAATCACTATAGAGCAAAAGCAACTAAAATTCAAGATAAAATCGCTTAAAAGGTCTATGAGTACACCTACGGTACAAGAGAGAATCGCTTTAAGGATCAATGAGTAATTAATTAATTATTGTTTCAACTTCTAATGTTAGTTCATTAAAAGCCACGACAAAGGAAGATTTTATGGAGAAGGGTCATATTTATCCCTCTACTTTTAAAAATAAGTTATATTTATCCTCCGTTTCACTTTTTGCATATTCTTATTCCTACCGTTCTACTTTGGGTTTAAAATTACCCCCAGTTGTTAATCTACTCATCAGAACTTTAAAAAGACACATGGCACTCTCTGGTTGCTCAAAAAAATACCCACCCCACTTCCTAATTCCTATTATTTCTACCTGACCCAAGGTTAAGACCTACCCGACCCACCCGAGCCCCTTCACGTAAATCCCCCAACACTTCCTCTTATTCTTCATCCCCCAACCCATAATCATCCTTAAACCACCTAAAAACTTGTTAGTTTCCTTGAGCTGTTTGTGCACTCTTTATAGCCCATCAAGGATGGATCATCTTGCTTCTTGAATTCCCTTCTAGGTGAACTTCTCAATAGCGGCGGCGGATGAGGAATTTGTAGGTGATGGAATGCTGCAGTCTTTGCTTCTTTCGGCACCGGGCACAGCGATGGTGGAAGTTGGTGAAAAACCAACAATTGCAAAAAAATTTGTTGGTGTAACTTTACTAACCCCTGGCTTGTTCTCCCAAGAAAAGGACACATTCCCTTTGGAATGGATCTTATAATTCCATTAGCAAGAAAATAATAGTAATAGAAAAACTTAGAATTCTTGTAATTAAAACTACTTATTTTGCAATAAACAAAAATTAAAATAAAGTGATATGATATAACTAAAGTATATATACAGAGACCCAAAAATCAGTTATGAAATTATAAAGCGACTTTTCATGTACTCCATGCTCTCTAGCACTGTGGGTTAGTGTTGAGGGATTCAAGTGGGAGGTTCGTGTGGGTCGGGTATGGTCTTAACCTAAAGTCGGTTAGAAATAATAGGAAGTGGTGGGTATTTTTTTTGAGCAACCAGAGAGTGCCATGTGTCTTTTTAAAGTTCTGATGAGTAGATTAACGGCTGGGGGTAATTTTAAACCCAAAGTAGAATGGCAGGGGTAAGAATACGCAAAAAGTAAAACGGAGGATAAATATAGCTTATTTTTTAAAGTAGAGGGATAAATATGACCCTTCTCCGAAGATTTTATGACTCCTTTTGTAGTAGAGGGAGAAGCATCCTTGGAGCATCATTTAAATGTGTAGCTGAGTATAGTAGCTGTATGCTATCCTCATTGGTGAGATAATTTTATCTATGGTCATTGAACTTTTGTGTTTGTTACCCAAAAGTCACTTTTTTTTTTAGTTACGTAAAAATCATTCAACTTTGTGTTCATTACACAAAAGTCACTTTTCTTTCTTTTGTTACACAAAAATCATTTTACTTTGCTCTAGTTATCACAAAAGTCACATTTTTACTTGAAAAGTATATTATGCCCTTGATATTATATAAACCTTCGTATTTATATAATACCTTCTATATTAAGTTATTTTATTTATTATTCTTATAATATATTCGTCTATTTAATTTTTTCTTAACTTTAATTTTCAAGATATATTAGTAGCGTTAAAAAACTACATTTTTTCAGCAATTCTTTTTTTTGAATTTAATTGACCGACCAAAATTGGTCGGTAATTTCCGACCAACTTTGGTCGGTATGCCCTTCCGACCTTTAAAATACCCGCCACACGTTAATAGTCGCGTTTTGGACGGTTATTGGCCATTATCGACCAACTTTGGTCGATTTTTTTGGACGATTTTTCTCGAATTTCTAGTAGTGTAATTTCCCAAATAACCAATTGCCCAGGCAAATCCCCAAGAAAATATCCCAGCTAAAATCGCACGTAGTATCTAGGGATTTTCCTTCAGATTAACATATGATTTGTTCCTCATTTCTTTGTTTGTTTACCTGCGAATTTTCTCACGAAAATATACTTGCCGATTTATTTCTCTACTAATATATATTAAAGTTACTGACAAATTTAATAACACTACTAATATATTTTGAAAATTAACGTTAAGAAAAAATTAAATATATGAATATATTATAAAAATAATAAATAAAACAATATTAAGTTATTTTATTTATAAATAAAATACATAGTTAAAAATATATTATATAGTATATAATATAGAATGTATTACATAAATATGAAGGTTTATATAATACCAAGGGCATAATAGACTTTTCAAGTATAAATGTGACTTTTGTGATAACTAGAGCAAAGTAAAATGATTTTTGTGTAATAAAAGAAAGAAAAGTGATTTTTGTGTAATGAACACAAAGTTGAATGATTTTTATGTAACAAAAAAAAAAGAAAAGTGACTTTTGGGTAACAAACACAAAAGTTCAATGACCATGGATAAAATTAACTCCCTCATTGATGCAAGTAGATAAATGGAATTAATTCAACGTCCTATGCTCCGACTTGATGAATGAGGTGGCCCGAGAGATCATATGGTTGTACATCTATAGCTTGAGGAATGAGGAAATTAAATCTAGTACTATTATCTTATGTTACTTCCCGAGCCCCAAGTCCATAAATAAAGTCTAAAACAGCTGAAGCCGTGAAATCTTGTCAGTAAGAAGGCACTAGAGAAGCTTCATTCTCTTGTGTTGCCTTTCTATATTTATGAATCCTTGCAGGATAATCTAACTAAAGCTTGAATGTTGGTATGATTTGACTATAGATATACAAGTGGTAAGCACCCTCTACTCCAACTTGAGATTGCAGGTTCGAGTCACCAGGAGAGCAAAGGGATAAAAGTGAGCTTATAAACCAACAGTAAGGTATTTTGGGGACCAAAATCAAACGGAGGGTATAGTTGTATTTTCAGTAGTTGGGGGTAATCATTCAAGTGCAGCTGCAGATAAATATTTAAATCTTCCTGAAACTTTAAGTTTGAACGCTGAAGTATACTTTATACTTTCCTAAAGTTATAACCGCTTTTGGTTTTTCCCCTCTCACTGAAGCGTTTCTTTCTCTTCTATTTTCAGAAAAAACATATAACTAACTTTGGCCATCACACACTCCTTGAGTCAACCTTATAGTCAACAGTATGAATATCCATTTGGGAAGGAGGGGCTTTGTACAAAGGTTGTCTACAGATAACTTCATTTGAAGAAGCTTTTACCGCTGTGGGCTTTGCCTTGTGTGCCTGTTTGTTTCATTGTCATGTTATCTTCCTCTTCCAGCTTTTACATCTATGATGATCCTTTTTGTTGTGCCCTCAAAAGAAGTACAGCTTGTCAAGCTTCATATTTGATTGATAATGAATTAGCATTCAAGATAAACATGCAATAAACGAAGTGCAGTTTTAGCATATTCTAGGTTTTCATATAATCTGGCTGTCCTCCAAGTTTGCTATTTGTATCAGATGTATTGCAGTTCCACAGATTCAAGAAATCACATTTGAATTGGAAAAATATCCTTTGTTTCCACGTCAATTCTTTATTAATGGAGTGTGCCATAGATAAAGAACAGTTCTTTTATGAAGTAGATAAAGAGCAAATATACTTCTAAATGCTGAATAATCAGTTAGTATCTAGTCGATAAGCTTTTCTCCTTCTAATGCAGAGACAACCCTTATGAAGCTAAGGGAAGGCTCTCGACGTGATACAAGCTTTCCTGCAGAGAGTTCAGTAGATGGAAATAATCATTGCCTCACTTCAGGCGGTTCACCTAGAGAGGAGGCATCAATAACTGATGCTGATTCTTCCAGTGAAAATCTTGAAGATACAAGTGGTTGTCAGCCCACAGGCTCCTCAAGAGAAACAAAGAAGAGCAACTTCTCTCTTGCTTATATGTTTTCCAGGTATAGAAGTTCTCAGGGTGCTGGAGGCACAGCTGATGAGGATCCAATGATCATTGAAGATGGTATTGATTCTGCAAACTCTTCACGTAGCCCTAACAATTCTCAGTTAATGAGCAGCTCAGCACAGATACAGTCCGCAATACCGGAACATTGCCCCCCTATGATTTGAGTTAAGATCATGTCATAAGTTTTCTGATAAATGCGGAAGAATGGTTGCTTGGCTATCATGGTGGTCGTATTGTTGTCCTGTACGAGTATTTTTTTTATTTATTATTGTGCAAGAGTTGCCCTTCCAAGGTAGGGATAAGGTTGCGTACATCTAACCCTCCCCAGACCCCACTTGTGGAATTACATTGGGTTGTTGTTGTTGTATTGTGCAAGAGTAGTTTATACGTGATGGATGAGTGGAGAAATGAGAACTTCCAGTAGTGTTGGTCAAATTGCTTTCTGGATGTATTTATTTTCTTTGTCAATACTATGAGGACCAGAAAAAATTTGCAATTGATCAATAAAAATGAGCATAGTGTTCGATTTTACATTTATTTAAGAAGCATTTGATGATCTGCAACTACTTGGTTAATTGGATGTGGTACTACTGCCACAAGAATTGAGTTCATATTCTGTATTTAGTCCAATGGCAGAGAATAAAGTAAGCAGGGTACCAAATATAGAGATTATATCAAGGTGAAAGCTCCAAAACTAAAATGAGAGAGCAAAGTCAGATGGAGCATACATTACGAAATGACATTTACTGTATTTTAATCTTCAACAGTTGAATATTGACATTGATTTAGCCTGAATAAATTACTGGAAGATGAGAAAGTTATTCCTCTTCTTAAATAAACAGTACAAACATTGTTACCTAATCATAAGTGTACTCGTTCATGAGTTGTTATGCAATGACGTCTTTCTTGAGGCAATTAATTTCTACTTAATATACACTATTGGCATATGCAAAAATGCATTTTGTATAATGCAATTTAAGGATAAAACTAGGGGTGGCAAAATGGTTCAAAGAAAACAGTTAACCACCCATATTATCCACTAAAAAATGGGTTGGATAATGAACTTTTTAAAAACGGATCAAATATGGATAAGAACCATATTATCCATTTAGAAAATGGATAACCAATGAGTAACCAATGAGTAACCAATGGATAACCAATGGGTCTAATTTGTACATTTGTAAAGCCTCAAATTGGGGGTTCCTCAAGTTAGGGAGACTAAGAATTCTCCCCAAAGTGATCATATACAAGAAGTCATGGATAATATGGGTAACCCATATTATCCGCCGGTTAACCCGTTTTTTATCCGTATTAAATATGGGTCGGGTCGGATAATTGATCCGTTTTTTCATTACCCGTTTTCGACCCGAACTATATCCGATCCGACCCGCCCGTTTGCCACTCCTAGATAAAACATTATAGAAAGTGTTTGACCAAAAAGTGTTAAGCTTTTCGATTAAATCAATTAATAATGATAAGAAAGGTGAATCTTAGTTAAGGATAATAAATTCTAGACCGAGTACCAAACGAAGTATGCAAGATGGAAGATGTTAATAAATATGTTTGAATTGATGAAATGCTCATAAATGCAACAAGATAAATATGCAATGAATACAGATTAATGCTACTAGCGTAACAAAAAGGATTCACTTCCCAATTATTATGAGACCCAAACAATTCCTTCTCCCGACCATAACGTGGAATGACTGGAATGATAGAGAGTTCTAGGATCCTTGGATCTTGCGAATATAGAACCAAAAGTGTAGGTTCGAACAAGGTAATCAATGAATAAGACAAGTTCAGTATATTCTCAGGTCAACTCTTTACATAAAGTGCTTTTACCAAGAAGTGAAGATCCCCCTTTTGTTCTCTATCTCTTCCTATTTATAAGGGATATTTCCCAAAAACTCTAAAAAGTACAAAGCAAGGGATATCCTTAGGAATATTCCTTATGTCTATATTATGAACTTATGCTACCGTTGTCCCCTTATCTCCCGTCTTTGACATCAAGCGTCTTGAGAGCAACCCTCAGCTGTTATATCATGGTCGACCCCATCCTTTATCTTACTTATACTTACCTTCGATACGCCAAATTTAGACCTATACAGTTAGTCCCTTCGCTTGTTGAGGTCGTGGTCCTGCATGCCCTTAATAAGCGGACCTGATTTGCTTTCGTTTCAGAATAATTTGGTCGTTGAATAAGCAGGGTCGACCCAGATGGAGAGAACGGCGCGATTGGCGGAGTCGTGATTGATGTGGCTACCATGGGGTGACATCATAGCCACGCGTGTCATCATTACGCATTTTTCCGAGACAGCGTCTGCGTGCCTGTCGCTTCGGTTCTGGTGTCATTGACAATCTTTTGCTTTGATTCTCGAGCCACCCAGCCCTATAAATAGATGGGGTTTTTGTTTTTCAGAAGTTTTCACCCTCCCTTCTCTTGCATGAACACTATTCTCCTTTGATCTTCTTTGCCAGTGTCTGCTCTTGACTTTGCTTTCGGGATTCCATATCAACCATTCTTACTCAGTTGTTACCTTCTTTTCCAGGTTTAGTAGTATACCTTTTATTGTAGAAATGTCGCAAACCCTTCGTATTCACGATGAAATTTCTGATGCCACCCCATTATCGGTGGCCCCTCCTTCTGGTGGTGAGGATCTTATGGCTGAAGAGGATGAGAGTTTTCCTACCGTGGAGGAGATAGTCCTCGAAAACCCCTTATCTAGAAACGATTTCCTCAAGGGACCTGCTCCTGCTCAGGTGATTTCTGAGACCGAACCGTCTCATATAGCTGAGCTTCGATCTGCATATCGCATTCCCTCCCACATCTAGATAGTGCCGGCTGGTGGCGACATTGTGGAGGTCCATCGACCTGGATATCATGCCTTCTATGTCTACCCTTTCTTAATTGGCTATACTCTCCCACTTCTTCCGCTGGCGGAAGAATTTTGCCGGTTTTATAACGTCTGCGCGGCACAACTATCTCCGTATTTGTATAAAGCTTTTCTGATGCTGACGAAGTATGCGAAATTGGCTGGTTTTGAGGTTGATGTTCGCCACTTATTGTACTTATTCTCACCAAGTTTTTACAAATGTACTATGATACACCTGCGGCATCGTGGGACCAGAAGGCTGATAGTCGGAATGGACGACAGGACGAATCAGAAGTTTTGGCACAAGTACTTATTTATCAAAATCGAGCACTTAATGGCGGACCCGACTGGGTTTCCCGAGCTGTGGAACCATAATCGTAAGTGCTTCCGACATACGCTTGTTGTCTTCTTTTCGTTCTTTCGCTTTCCGCTCATTTGTGGCTTCTTTGTTTTTCAGCGGAGAGGCGTGCACCTTCCCCTGTCTTTGGTATTGAAGACTGGGTGGCTTGTGTGTTGCCCCACATGGCGGGTATTGTGATTGGGCGGTTTTCTACAAATGCTTTGGACCAAAGGTCCCGTCTAGTAAGTGTTACTTTTGCTTCGGCCTTCTGTTGTTTGCCATTGTTTGTTGATACGACCTCCTCATGATGCCAGGTCGACGAGCTTCAAAAAAGAAAGCTCCAGTGCCGGTGTTTCGCCAGGCTATTGCATCGGCAGGGATGCAATTTACTTTGGCTGAGTCCGTCCATGGAGGTCATACTCAAGCCCTGTCAACGAGGGATGCCCCTTTCAGAGTATTGTTGCACGGGATGAGATCTCCCCCCGACCTATCTACCATCTCATAGACGAATCGTCTGATAGAGAGGAGTCGCCGTCGAGAAAGAGGCGAAGAGTGGAACTTGGGAAGGCTGCCCTCACCGGTATTGAACCAAAGAGAATCATTGTTGAGGAAGCGGTGCCTGCACGTGTGCCAGACGTAGGGGCCGTTTTTATGGCAGATGCTATTAAGGAGGGGAGGTCTTCTAGGGCCGAGGGGGTACATGGAGGCGAGGAGCCTGTACGGACCGCAGAAGGTGGTGCGTCGTCGGCGGCCGGAAGAGAAGGAGCGGTACCTGCAGGGGACGACGACTCTGGTTCAAACATCGACCTCGATGAGATACGAGCCTTCTTGGACAGGAACACTCGCGTAGAGGTGAGGGCGGAGAGTCCTAACAGGCACATAATCATTCCGTGGGTTATGACCTTTTGGCTATCTCTGAGCGGGCGGTACCATCCTTTGTCCCCTTATGCGCGGCTTCTGAGAATACGGCGCTGCAGACGATGAGCGATGCAGAGCTATCCTGAGTATCTCCGGCATGGTTTTGCGAGTAAGTGCCCTCTCCCCCTTTTTTTTTTTTTATGTTCAGGATTTGCCTCGCTTGCGTAATCTGCTTGTGCTGACTTCTTCCTTTCGCATGCCAGACTCTAATCATGGGAATTGAGCGTGACCGGTGGGAGGAGCGGAGGACTGCCCTTTTCAAGAAGGTGACTTCCAAGTACAAAGAGTACCGTACTAAGCACCGAACGCTGGCCGACGTCTTTAACCAAGATAGCGAGTTTCAGCTGTTTCGCGATGGGCTCAAACACAAAGAGGAGGAGTTGGTGAGGAAAGTTGAGGAGCTGAAGGAGCGTGATGATGAGCTAATGAAAGCCATATGTCACTGCAGCGAGCTCGAGGCGGCTCTTAAGGCCAAAGACGATGAGCTCGAAGTGAGCAAGGGGGTGATGGCCGAGAATGCCGACCTTCAAGCGCGGGTGGCTTCCTTAAATGCTGAGTTTGAGCGAAGGGAAACGGAGGCTGTCGCTCTGAGGGGCGAGTTGAGCATCAAGGTCGAGGAATTGACCCGTACTAAAAAAGATAGAATGGTCGCCTTGTCTGAAGTAGCAGCCTTAGATGACGCCCTCCGTGTTTGTAGGTCTGAGTGGGAAAATGAGGTGGAGACGTCGGCGCTCAAGGTGGCGAAGTTGGAAAAGCGGATTCAGGATTTGGAGGCGGAGTTGTCCGGATTGAATGAGCAGGCTGTTGCTTTGAAGGCTGAGGAAGTGCGACGGCAGTTGCAACCATCTACGTCTCATACCTCTGTCGACCCCGTTGTTCCACGAGAGCTATACGAGATGTGGGTTCACGCCGAGGCTCAACTTGATGTGTATAAGTCCCTGAAGGCTGACAGGAGAGTTTCCGAGGCAGAACTCGAGAGTGCCCGTGTTAAAGCACGTGTGGCTCGCGAAGCTTGTGGTTATGCCCCCGGTACGCCTGGCGGGGATGATGTCGATGATGATGCAGACAGGCTTGCCTCCGATTCTTGGTATAATGATGAGTACGCCGATGGGGATGACGCGGCGTAAAGCCGTTGTACTTATTTTGTTTTGTCTTGCTATTTTTGTGAGGGCGTCTCTGGGGCCTTTGTAAAAAGTATTATAATATGACATTTGTAATGGAATGATTACCTTTTTGCTACGTATTTCCAGATTGCCGTTATATTTTTGCATTTGCTATGTGGTGAAGTCCCTGACTTTTCTGTCGCTTGTGTGTAGTGTCTTGGCGTAGTCGATTGTAGATCTTGAAGTAATTCGAGCGAGGTCGAATGTGTGATGATTCGAGCGAGGTCGAATAATA